ATGTCATGGTCTCTGCCATGGTACTTGGATGAGTGAGAAGCGCTTTGGCTGTACGGCCTACCAATTTCATGTGATGGGAAAGTGATGTGCACATGTTGATTAACTAGCCAGGGAAAAGTCCAGGTGCAGTGGGATTTGCCTGTAGTTTCAGCTACTTAAATGGATGAGGCAGGAGGATTTCTTGAGCTCAAGAGTTTGGGATGAGACTGGACAGCATAACAAGATTTTATCACAGAATTAAAAAAAAATTAAGGAGATTTGTGGAACAACCTGGATAGATGCTCATGGGGTGTGTGTCCCATACCCAACACAAGGGGGCGCTGCCAGGCAAGACAAAGAGATTCCACCTGCGCTTCAGTCCGCACAGGGTTATCCTCACAGGACAATGGTCAATAGTGTGCTGCCACTCTTGACTTGGTGTTCAAGAAAATAAAGAAATCAATGTGTAATCCAAGTGTACGTACTTTTCTTGTGCTATGACAAGAAACAAGCAGCAAGTTTAACTCCAAAGTGAGATAAGGTGGCTGTCCAGAAGAGGCCTCACATGATGTTTTGAAGTAAAGAATGATAATTTCAGTAGAGACCATATTGGTGATTTCAGAAATTTGTTCAAGGGGCATCTGACAGAGAAATGTTTAGAATCTCAGAAGACCTGAATCAATCATTTCAGTCCCAAACTATAAACATTCTTAGCATTGAAAACTGGACATCTAGATCTCTACAGCTAGGCTACAGATAGATCACCCCGTGAAGGTGAGAGTAGTTACCCCACGACAGGAACTGAGGCTCCCTTTAAGTGGGAGCAATTAGTTTCTAGGAACCAGATTGCCCCCCAAGCAAAAGGACTTCTCCAGGGCTACCTCAAAGAACCAGGCCTGAGAGAGTGACCAACCAGACCCTAGCCCATCTGAGCACCTGATAAGAACTGGTACTTTCTTTTGTGGACAGGCCAGTCTGATTTTCTCCACTCAACCTGGGTTCTCCTCCACTCTTCTTAAACTGATACCTCTTCTCCATTTTTTCATCCTTTTTAATTAAAAGATTTTGCCTGTAATTTCATGCTCTACTCCACACTTTAATTTCAACTATCACTGAGACATAAGTTCCTTTGAGTCCAATATCATGTATACGTTGGCAAAGTATCACAAAAACACTATCCCAGCCACTAGTATGACTTAGATAATCCCAGATTTACAATGGTGTAACATATGATTGTTCAACTTTAGGATGGTTCAGGAGTGATAACATTCAGCAGAAATCTTATATGTACCACAATATGTGTGTTCAGGGGACTATATTTTTTATTTATGGTAATTTAAACTTACAATGGGTTTATTGGGATGTAACACCATTGTAAATTAAGGAGCATTTGTGTGTGTGTGTGTGTGTGTGTGTGTGTGTGTGTGTGTGTGTGTATTTAAAATGTTAGCAAAGATTTTTTTAAGGTTGTGATAATTTCTTTTCCTGAAATTGCCTGAATGTATACCATACACTACACATTAAGTTCATGAATGAAAAAAAAGTCCAGAAAGACCCTTTCCTATTCCTTTAGCAAATAAAATTTGCTAAAATTGGTGATGTTTGCCTTCTGGTTTCCATTCGCTTCTGGGCCCCAGGGAAAGCATGAAGGGGAGGGCCTGGGTCTTAGTGGTCCTAGATCCCCTCATAGATTTTATTTTGCTTTTTGTCCTCATGACCCCTGAAAGGGAGTGCTGTTGGTTAAACCAAAGAGCTACATCTTTGTATACAGTGGAGAAATTTCCACCCAAATGTGAAGTAAATAATCATTAACCAAAACCTGAAGGACAGAAGCAGCTATCACCAGAGGAAAAGGGCTCTATTCCACCGACCATGTTCCGTGGGAAACAAGGTTTTGCTGATGATTCAGTCTGTCTAATGCCACAACCTCTCTCTCTCTCTCTCTCTCTCTCTCTCTCTCTCTCTCTCTCTCTGTCTCTGTCTCTTTCTCAGCCAGCAATTCTCCACTGTATTTTGTAACACAACCCAGTATACACACATACCTCTCTACATAAATAACTGAAACAAAAATTTCCCAAATCAATGCTCTCTTCCTTCTTTGAAATGCACTTTGATGTTTTTTTCTTATCTTTCATTTTGCTCTATTCTTTTTAATTTTTAAAAGGCTGTTCAAATGGAAAATAAATCAGTACATTTCAGGAATTATGAACCAGATGCGGGTGGGTGACATCTTTGAAGTGAGGGAGAAGTTCTGTGTCTACATTGAGGTGGAAGTGGTAGTTAAATAAATCTATGCCTGATAGAATTATATACACACACTGAAGTGTGCGTATCAAAGCTAGCGAGATCCAAGCAAAGTCTGTATTCTGTAGCAGTTAAATAGATGATGACAGAATCAGTTTTCTGTTGTTGATAATGTCTTCCTGACACCATAAAGTTATAACCCACAGTTTATAATTTAAGTCCTATTTCAACAAGGGTGGACATTAGATTAACAAGAAGCTTCTTATACAAATTAGCTTTTTCTGAAGAGCTAACCTATGCATACCAATATTTAAGCCATTTGGAACACTACAATTTCAACTCCTGTTAACAACCTCGCTGAGTTGGATTGCAAAGGGTTGTATGAGTATTACGTAGACTTATGTTTCATTTGCTTGTGTTTTGGCCTCTAAATGCACAGCCCTACCTTGCTTCCCATTTTTGAAGAGGCAATGCTCCTCTTCTTACCCCTCAAGACATTGGGACGATGCTTCTCAAGACACCAAGAGCGTTTGTTAAAGCCCACATTGGCTTTCTTAGATTCTTCGGAGGTAGGACTCAGAAATGTGTATTTGGCACAAAGCCCTTGGAATCTGATGCACAGCAATTTATCAGGAAGCTTGGACAAGTTTGCTAAAACTGGATGTGTGAAAACTCAAGGTGTTAATTGTCACAGCTATTGGGAAGTAAATTTAAATTTAAAAATTCCTCTATGGTGAAAATACAATTTCAGAGTACTTGCTTCTCAATTTCAATGTTTTTAAGCAATAAAGTCTAAAATATTAACGTAAGTCAAGTCCCTGCCCTTTGTAGCAAAAGCATTACTTTAGTGCCTCGGTTTCTTCAAATGCAAGGACGAAAATTCCAGTAATCTCCCTAATTCATAGCACTTCTGTAGATAATGACCATTTGTTCTCAGATGGAAGTAATTTCATTAGCATAAGTGGATGCATATTTTATAAACACAGACACATATGTTTCATATTCTACTCCTATTTATTTACACATTCTGTAAACACATGTGTACACAAAGCCACATGGACAATTTCAGAGGCACATGTGGAACACTGTGCACAAGTAAAGGCCCCAGTGGTTGCCTGGGAGCTCTTCCCCAGGTAACAGATCAGTTACTACCTCGAGGCTCTCTTTTGTCCTTACTGCCTTGGGGCGGGGTGGGGGGTGTGGGGGGTGGGGGATGTGCCCCGCAGTGAGTCAACCTCCGGAATTTTCCTCCACCTCCTTCCTTACCTTAGAATATCCTGCCCTCTTAAGGCTCTGATTTATGAAAGGAAAAATGCCTCCTCCAGTGTTCCTGGTTTCTCACCCGCTAATATCATAGCCTTCTCAGAAAACATATTTCTAACTCCTCACTTAATGAAAAGGAGTTAAATTAGAATGATGAGGTTGATACTTTCTGGCAAGTTGATTTTACAGCTCCCTCTACTAACAAAGACGCTGGATGTCCTTGAAGTTAAGTTAGAATGAACCTAGCCTTGAAAGTTAAGCTTGTACAGAGCATGGGAAGGGGTGGGAAGGTGCTAACAGGTGGTCATACATCTCTTCTGAGCTTCTCCTTTGCGACTCAAATAGATCAAATATTCTCTTTTTTTTTTTTTTTTTTTTTTTTGCGGAACCGGGGATTGAACTCAGGGCCTTGCGCTCGCCAGAGAAGCACTTATTCTACTGAGCCATCTCCACAGCCCCTCAAATATTCTCTTGCATCAGAAACAATTGGGTAACTACAACCTCATGTCTCCTGAGTGAAACTGGATTTTTTGCCTTACAGGTGCTCAACATAATGTGAGAGAGAAAAGAACATCAGGTAGAAGGTGTGCTTCTCAATGTTCTCTTCATATAAACATCCCGTTTCGGTCTGGCCACTTTGAGATCTTCTTTCCCTTTCTTTAAATGTGGGCCTGTTTTCCTGATAGCAAAAACAATTATAATACCTGTCTTGTGCTGAGCATTTCCTCTGCCAGGAATGTACAAAGTCCTCTAATGCATCTTTCCAAAAGGCCTGAGAGGTAAGTAAGCTTGTCCTCACCTTGGGTGAGAAGTTAACAGCTCAGGTAGAGCCATGAGCTGGCTCAAGTTTAAACAGACAATTAGTAGCTAAGCCAAGATGTGAACCTGAAGTTCATGTAGTGGATAGTGGTCCCTAAACCTTATGGACTTTCCAGAACCTCAGAACAGGCCCTTATTTGGAAATAAGGTACAAAAATGTAGTTGATGCAAGGTCATCCTGCAGTATGGTGGGCGCCAATCCAATAAGCACCGTCCTTGAAGAAGAGAGACAGATACAAGAAAAAGGCCACCACATGGTGGCAGAGTCAGAAGTTGGGGTGAGGAGGATTGCTGCCAGTGCCAGAAGCCAACAGAAAGGCAGGGGACAGGTCATCTCCAAGAGCATTCAGAGAGGACATGGCCCTGTGGACAGCTTGATTCCTGACCTCTAGCTTCCGGATTGTGAAACTGTACATTTCTCTTGCTATAAGAGATGTGGCCTATGGGGCTTTCTTTATGGCAACCATAGGAAACTAGTATAACCTGTGATCTCAGACCTTAAGCCATATACCCTACAATCTGAATATTGCAGAAATTTTGGAAAACAAAGCGAATTTACAAAGTGGTCATGATTCCACATTGCAGAATTAGTCATGCTGTTCAGATTTCCTTTACTTTCTCTCAATGGTTACCCCATCACTTCCTATTTTTCAAAATAGAAGCAGCGCTCTTGTTTTTTCTTCTATTCTGTTGGTTGACAAGCTGTATTTATTATGAAATATGTTTTTAAAACAATAATAGTTGAAAACCCTAAAATCCTTCATTTTTTCCCCCCACTTTTACCACCACCCTCATTATTTCAGCTAATTGAAATAGATCCAGTTGAGATGACAGACCCATCCTTGATTTGAAACAATGGTACTAAAAATGGAACAGTTGGCTACAGCGAGATTCCCCAGAAGATGGCAGTGTGGATCACAGGAAAAACAAAACAAAACAAAACAAAACAAAACAAAACAAAACAACAAAACAACAACAAAAACGACCTCACACAATCCTGGCCTCTTTACTAAACCACAAGTTTGTGAATCCTTTCGCACAAGCAGCACACATTGGGCTCCAGGGCCTTTGTGAATGATCCAGGAAATAGCAGTCAAACCCTGGACTATCTTGAAAGACAACTTGGAGTGATTATTTTCCAACTTTGTGAAGTCTTTTCTTGTGAAAGAAGAAAACATTCAATTATATCTAATTTATAGTTCAGACACTGGAGGTTTTTGTTATACATATTTTAATACATCAACTATATTTTCTGTATCCTATCCTCTTCTGAGCTGAGTTTCAAGCAGGGCTCTCAATTCCTGTGTATTTAGATTATGGATAAAAATAGGAAGGACTGGGAAAGAATCAAATGGAGCTAGTTCAGAAGTAAGAAAGAAAGAGGGCGCCAGGATCTAATTCTTTAATGTGTACTAACTGGGTGATGCTGATGCATATATTTAAAATCTCTAGTCCTAAGTACCACATATTTTCATGTGTTTTGCTTTAGTTTTTTATGACCACAATATCTGCTAGGCTGATGCTACACAGTAGTGTGCATCTCAAATGAGGAAGATACCCAGAAAAACAAAACAAAAAAAATTCTGAGTAGCAAATGCAAAGCAAGAGGCATCACAACCCCAGATTTGCAGTTATACCACAAAACTACAGAGATAAAAACAAAGCCATCCAAAAGTGTATGCTGGAAGAATAATAGCCTCTTTTATAAGTGATTCTGGGTGAAATGGCTATACGTATATATGTTGAAGATTGAATCTAGACCATGGCTCTCACCATGCACCAAAATAAAAATGTATCAAAAATTTAAATATTAAAATAGAAACACTTAATGTGCTGAAAGATAAAGTAGTAACACTCTTGAAGACAAAGGTATAAGCAAGGACTTTCTTCCTTTTTCTCTTTTATCTTTTTGTGTGGCTGGCTCAGCCCTTCCTAGGGGTGGGGTTGGGGTAGCTTGTGGTGCCAGAGATCGAACTGCAGTGCCTGCGCTTGCCTAAGCAGGCACTTTAGACTGTTGAGCTATCTCACCGGCCAGGCAAGGACTTTCTAAACAGAACTTCAATGGCACAAGAAATATCATCAACAATAAACAAATAGGGCTGGGGAGATGGCTCAGTGGAATAAGCACTTGCCTGGCAAGCGCAGGAGCCTGAGTTCAATCCCCAGTTCCACCAAAAACCCCCAAACAAACAAATAAACAAAAACAAAACAAAACAAAACAAATGGGATTGTGTCAGATTAAAATCTGCACAGCAAAGGGAACAAACAAGAATGAAGAGACAACCTATAGAATGAGAAAAAAAATTTAGCCAGTTACTCTTAGGAAACAGGTCTAATATTTAGAATATAAAAAACTAAAAAATTAGATCTTCTGAAATAAAAGACCCATGGGGCTGGTGAGATGGCTCAGTGGTCTAAAGCACCTACTTAGAACAAGCTTAGCAAACACAGGGACTGCGGTTCAATCCCCCAGCACCACATGCCAGCCAGCCCCACCCCCTGGTGGGCTGGGCTGGCCACACACACTCACACAAATAAATAAAATCTAAAAAAAAAAAAAATTTAAAAATAAAATAAAATAAAAGACCCAGTCAAGAAACAGGCAACCAAAATGAATAGACACATTCTCAGAAGAAGTGCAGATCAAAAATAAGCACATTTAAATAAGTTCAGCATCTATGCCACTTAGAGAAATGTAAATTAAGGTAACACTGAGATTATATCATATTCCAGAAAGAATGACCACCATCAAGAAGTCACCAGTAACAAATGCTGGTGAGGTTTCAGAGGATAACAAGGAAAACTACATTGTTGGTTCGAGCATAAACTAGTATAACCATCATGGAAATCAGTATGGAGATTCCTCAAAAACACTAAAAATAAAAATTTCATTCAACCCAAGTATTCCCCTTCTTGGCATTGTCCTGAAAAGGTTAAAGACATCATGTTAGTACTGTATATGTAATCCGTGTTTATAGCATCACAACTCATATTAGCTAAATCTTGAAATCACCTTGTATATCCCTCACCACATGAATAGGTAAAGAAAAGTGGCATTTACACACAGTGGAGTACTACTCTGCCCTAAAAACAAGCCACTTTTAGTCTAGTTTGTGTGCCTTGAGACAATAATGTGAAGTGAAATAAATCAGGCACACAAGCTCAAATATCATGTAGCTTCTCTTAAATGAGAAATCCAAAGTATTAAAAGCATTTGACGGGCAAATTAAAAGATAGACAATAGGAAATAGGGAGGTAGATCTTTTGCAAATGGGAAGGAGACCAAGGGATAAAAGGAGAAAGGGGGAGGAAAGGTAGGGGGAGAGGATATAAAAAGAATTAAGATGTGTTTCATACATATACCAAACAATCAATGTAATCATTATATATTGCAGATGTGCTCAAAAAATACCTATAAAACCTTGCTTCTATGATCAAGTTTCTTTCTTTCTTTCTTTCTTTCTTTCTTTCTTTCTTTCTTTCTTTCTTTCTTTTGTGTGTGTGGCCACCTCAGCCCACCAGGGGGTGGGGCTGGCTGGCATGTGGTGCTGGGGGATTGAACCACAGTCCCTGTGTTTTGCTTAGTTTAGCTTGTTCTAAGTAGGTGCTTTAGACCACTGAGCCATCTCACCAGCCCCTATGATCAAGTTTCTGGGCTGAGGGCAGAGAATCTGCTGTCCTAGAACCTTCTCTGTGATAGTGGTGTGTGTGTGTGGGGGCACCTTGAGAGCCATTTGGCTAGGGTGTTGGTAAGTGACTGGAGTGCCAGGTATTTTTGATGCCTTCTGTCTTGGGAACTCTTAGATTGTGTTATGCCACAAAATTAGGAAAATCTTTTCACAAAGTGAAAAGGTGCCAACCTAGTCTTTGCTCCAAATATGTGGGCAGCTGTGTGCAAATGTTGGGTGTAGCCTCGATGTCCAGGTGTGAATCATGATACTTCCTGTGGCCCGTGAGTGTAAGTGCTTTCTCTTCATGACAACTACACATGCCACTCACTCACCAGTGCTATGGGAGCTGGTTGCTATTGAATGGACCATGGAATCAACATGGTCCCCAGAGTCCCCTGAAAGCCCAGAAGAGAAGCTACATGAACCCAAGATATATTTTTAGAATACTGCAAGAGGTGACTATGCCTGGGTCAATGCTGGCACTACAATCATCTACCCAACTGTATTATTTCCTTAGTACCCAACACCAACTAATATGTTATTTCTTGTTTATTAGGTTTAGTTACTGCTTACTCTCTGTCTTAGTCCATTTTCTGTTGCTGTAGCAAAAGTACCTGAGTCTGGATAATTTATAAAGTGTAGAGGTTTATTCAGCTCATGGTTCTGAAGGACGGGAAGCCCAAGAGCATGGTGCAGGCATCTTGCTCAGGATCAAGTGAGGACCTTTTCACTGGTGTGCTCTCTGCAAATTCCCAAAGTGTTACAGGACATCACATGGCAAGACAGAGCAAGTACGCTAGCTGGGATGTCTCTGTATAAAGCAGGTAATTGCACAATCAGAGCCACACCCTCATGATCTCATGTAATCTAATTCCAGTTACTTCCCAAAGGTCTTGCCTCCCTATACCACTAAAACAGAACTTTGGGGATTAAGTTTTCAATACAGGAACTTTGGAGGAGAAACACTCAAGTCATAGCGCTATCCCCCTTTTTTCCCCTCAAATATAAACAACAAGGAGTGTTAGCCACTTTAATATGTTCTAAGAACAATGGCTGCCAAGATAA